ACTGTAAATATGCTCTATTCTGCTGTTCTAATACTGTATTCTGCTGAAATTAGACTGTGTCCTGCTGTTTAAAACTGTTTTCTACTGTAGTTGTACTGTACTCTGCTGTAGCAATATACTCTATACTTATGCCGTATGTTTAATGTAAATGCATAATATTCTGCTTTAATCCCATCATATTCTGCTTTACTTATAACATACTTAACTGCAAATAAGCTGTACTATGCTGTATCTACACAGTGTTCGCTGTAATTCTACTTTTTTACCTGGGCTATTTCTATTTCTATATTGATGATTATCACTTTACTATTTCTTTATTATTTTTTTGAATTGCAAATACTTGCAAAACATTAAAACATTTCACAAATCTAATGGAGATTAATTCTGTGTGAGACCTCCTCACTGTGCTTACTGTTTTATTGCCATGTCCTATTTATTTCTGTACTAAATTCTGCCCCCACCACACCACACAAAATGTTTTTTAATAAAACATACATACATACATCACAACATATGTTTCCACTGATCCAACTTTTCATTAATTTCCGAACAGGAAGAAAGGCAACAGGCAACTTTGACTGACTCTGAAAAGTTGGCTAGGGAGCATTATCAGCAACTTATACATCCCCTTTAAATCTGATGTTCACATTCATACATGTATCATACTGTGTATTACTATACTGTCAGTAATGAAGCCATTTAGAGCTGACAGTCCCATCTCCCCTGCTGAATCACATCAGCAAGCTATACTCTCACTGGGCCGAACTGTGTTGCAGAGTACTACTATGTGTGTGGTTATTGCAGTGAGCCCGAGGCTACATGTGACCACAAAAACCTGTTCCCTCTAACACAGTCTTACTACAAATAGCACTATAAGGTTCCACTGCTATGAAACAGAGCAGCATGACTCTCTCAGTTCCAGTTTTGCCCTTTATTCAATCTCAATTCCATGATTTACACAAATGCTGCTAACACTTATCAGCTGTATCAACAACATTTAACTACTCAACGCACATTGTCCCCCAAAGTGCGACTAACTCAATGGCCATCGGCTTATTTAATACAGTGGGTGATCTGGGTATAGAATATATGATCAGTTTTCCAACTGTAGTACTCGTTTCTTATATAAACCCTGTTGAGGTTCAGCATTTTGCTCAGGGTACATCTAGATGTGGAGCCAGAGATCCAACTATCAGCTCCCTAAATTTATAACCAACACACACAACCAAATGAGACAGAGTAGCTTTTTTAAATCCCAAAACACAGCTTTCAAACTGCAGTTTAATGAAAATGGCAGCTCAGTGTCTTAGTATGTACAGGATAAATAAAGCTTTTCAATATTGCGACTATGGCCGTTAATTTAAGTTAAAATAAGAGGTTTTTTATTAGTCCCAAAATGGGAAAATCTGCAATTTAAGGAGGACTTTCTGTTACCTCAAACCTGGTCTGTGATCTATCTGTTTAAATATCAATACAGGTATCATTAGAAGTAGTTGTCACATGAAAACAGCATTTTAGCCTGGTAACTCTTCTGTAATTCATAGAACAGAAATATAAATTAAACAACAATCTCATGACAAAGAAGTCCCATCAATTCTACTGAACAACTGACAATAGAAATTCTCAGTTAGTCAATGAAGTGGAGTTCAGTCATTGAGGTGTGTATCTTCTAATTAATAATGAGATGGTGAGACAACAGTTTTATTCTGGCATTTGTCAGAGTTAGTGATTATTGTTAAGTCAGCCTTAATAACAGGTCACATTTTAAAGGAGTGTTTTTAAAATGTACATATAAAATGTGCTCTTGGTTGGCTTACATTCTCAAACTGACTATGTCTGTAAGATGACCATTAACTGGTGAACACTGTTACAGAAAACCTGTTGTAAATACAATTATTTCATTAAAAGGAAAAAAATGGTAAAACGTTTTATTTTAATTTAAATGCATGATTACAATCCTGCCTTAAATGAAGACCAGTACGCACAGTGCTGACTCAACAGGGACCATCAGAAACATCCCTTACATAAATCCTCAAGTAACATTGAGTCAACACACAACACAAACCATCCAGCACTAAGATCACTATTGTGTCCCTGTATGTTTTAATATCAGCCAGTGGCCCTCTAATATGCATGACTTAAACCCAAAGAGTAAGAAATCAATATTAGGTAAATGTATCAAATATAATGCGGGATCTGATGCCATATATCTTTAAACATGTAAAATATGAATGTCCTGAGCTTTGGCACATTAAGTCTCGCTTCAAGCTCCAGTTACTTCTTAATTGTGGTCCTTTCAAACATCAGCAGTAGCCAGCGTGTCCCTGGTTTTCATGGAAGTATATTTTTCTCAATACTTCTAGCTCTTCTTGGAGTCATCTTCATGTACATGTTGACTCAGATGTTGGCATTACAATGTATTACGGAGGAATTTGACAACAACAAACCACAGTTTGTCTCTCTGGGGACCCTTGATGAATATGATTCCCCATCTATCTCTTTTCAGTCATCTACTGTTGTAATTATCTTTTAACTTTAAGCTCCTCCTTTGGAAGATGACATTTTGTTCTGAAATTTGAAAAAAATATATATATATTTGCATTTCTCTGTCATATTAGATTTGGACAGTTGAGGTATAATGATGTCACCTCTGTACCACCCTGCTTAAGTGTTTTGATCAGGAGGCTATGCAATGCTATGTTCTACAAATGTTCCAATTCCTACCACTTCAGCCACAATAAAAATGTATAAATGAATTAAACCCATGTGAAAATCCAAACAAAGACTGCTGTTGTCGCACTTACACATCACTGGGTCTTTGCATTATTTCAAGTTTACCTACAGAGTTCATTTTGCCGGTTCAATCTCCCAAGAAGATGAATTTGAACTTTGCAAACTCTGTCCTGAAAAAGTCCTACACAGAGGCTGTCTTAGCCTGGAAGAGATGCATAATGGGAGAGGAGTGAAAAGAAAAAATGTTTTATGACCACTCGTGTCCTATATACTAGACCAGTTAAAGCACAACATTCCAGGCTAACTTCAATCTGTATAAGGATCAAACTGTCGTCCCCACTGTGTTTACCTGTGTCAGCAAAGCAGTGATACACCATGATAACCTGAAATGATATTAGCAAGGATTAAGCATTATGAGAGATGAACAGTCTCCACACAAATCAGCAACTGCTACACTCTCGTCTGCTGTTTCCTTTGCAGCTGTTCCTGCTGGTTTTTCTATCTGACTTACTGCTAACACTGGAGTGGGGGAATGGCCGTTGCAATTGTGCAGGTCTGCTGCATGGTGTCTATCTGCACAGGTGCGGCGGAGAACTTTATGTTATTGGAAAACAGTTGAGAACACTGAACACCTACAGCAACAAAAGGTACATTCCTTTATAGACTGTGGAGGTAACAGTTGTAACGTTACCAACAGCAATATCCCGATATAAACTGAAGCCAATGTTAACTTAGCCGTCTCAAGCTTAGCACACACTTTAGGCCTGCAACTTCAACTAAGTGCCAGAAAACCTCAGTAAATAAGATCCTGTGCCAATGTGTCTACTCAGCTCATGTAAAAAGTGAGGTTACAGGACCACCCCAATGCAGTAGTATGGCTCTGGTTATGGGGGGGGTAGTATTAATCTGTGATTCCTCAGCATATAGCTAAGCAAACAGATACTGAAATGGAATGACATGCTGTATTCACTAACTTCACAATAAGTTACTTGAGGACCATGCTGGGGACCTATGGTAACTGGTTTGTATTTATATAGAGCTTTCCTAGAGTTGAAATCAAAGCGCTTTACAGTACAGTTTATTGCCATTCACACACACATTGATACAGTGCATCCATGGGCCGCACTTTTTCTATGAGGGGCAATTCTGGGTTCAGTATCTTGCCCAAGGCCACTTTGGCATGCTGATGGGGAAGACTGGGATCGAACCGCCGACCTACTGGTTGAAGGACCGCTCTACTCCTTCAGCCACAGCCGCCCCGACCTATGACCATTGCTGTTGCTAATCGTAAATAAGATCTGAGTCACTTTGTCTTTGCAGGGACTGTTTCGGTTTTGGTTGCTGTAACAGTGTTGTGTCATGTATAGGTGAGTCTTCACTTTTATTTGGCTATATATGCTAAGCTAAAATCAAATGTTAGCCTCATACAGAATGTTTACTTTCCAACAAATATGGGATCTTTTGTTATGTTGCCAATTTACAAGCTTAATCACATCCTGAATTGACCTTTCTTATGGAGGAGCTTTGCTAAGTGTGATTTTGCCATAGTGTTATTCCCCCCCCCCTCCCCACACACACACACACACACACACACACACAATCTCTCTCCCTCACACACACTCACACTTTATTTAAAAAAGGATGATTTGAAATCAAACACAATTAAAATCCACTGAATTCATCACACTAAGTGGATTTTTCCTGCCTCAACTGTAGCCTAATGGGCAAACTGGTGTAGATCTGAGCTGTGATGCTTATGTTGAGACCATCAGCTCAATCCTCTCATGTTTAACAGCACAGGGTATGAAAAGATCAAAGGACAGCCACAGCAGAAACCCAAGAAACACTTCGGAGGAGAAATGGCTCAGAGAACGAAGTCACATGGCCGAACGACTGAGAACGAAAAAGGTTGCGTCACTGACAGACGCTGGCGTCATTATGTTTGTTAATAATACGCAGCTCGATGCGGATGATCGGACTTCCACAGGCCCGACCGTGCACACAAAGAGCTGGGATAAAAGCGCTGCTCACCCGCATCAGCCCGCTCGCTCTCTGCACTCCCCTCCGCCTCGTCTGAGCGGCTGTGGATGCTGCTGCCATCACCAAACACCCCGTCATCCATCACAAGCGCAGACATGCTACACACACCCACTGCACCCATGGACGCATCCTCCTCGCTCGGCCTTATTTTTTCGCAGCATCCCTTACCTCTCAGATGAAAATGCACTCAGCCATTAATCCATGGTCAACGCGCTGTTCTCGCCGCTGCCTCTTGATCGCGTGTCCTTCAGTGTTTCGGCGCAGAGGGCGGTCAAAATAGATCAAGATGAAGATGTTGCCCGTTGTGTGCTATCAGGATGCGAGGGATGCGCCTGCCGAGCCCATACGTGTAAGGGAGAGCGCCCGGCTCCACAATCCGAATCCGTCGAACGCAGAGGAGAACCGAAGCACGACCTCCTCTGCAGAAACGTGAAGGGTCTAATCAAAGCGGCGTCTCGGTTGTGTTTTCGGTCTCCCTGTCGTCCTCCCCGGCAGAATGGCCCTCTCTGTCCCGTAATTTCTCCTCCGCACACACATACGCACACACGCAGAGCGGAGCAGCGCTTTCTCATTTAAAGAGATATGATAGGGCAGCTGGAGCAGCACACAGCCTCTCTGTCTGCTTCTTATGTAACCTGCAGCCCAGATTGTCCTGCAGGTTGCTGCTCTACCTGTGTGTGTGTGTGTGTGTGTGTGTGTGTGTGTGTGTGTGTGTGTGTTGATGCAATCATTGACAATGAGTGACAGCAGGTGCTAAGCTGTTGGGGATGGGGGCTCCCACAGCCCCTAATATAGGCTTGATCCGGCTTTTATCTCCTCATGGTCCACTAGCTGTAGCCTATTTTTCCTGTTTACCTTCAAAAACATACTGTGTACATATTATTAGATTTATATTGTTACATTTTAATACTTGATTTTTTTTTTCTTCTTATATTTAGAGATGTCTGACATGCACCAACAACCCCAAAACAAATCCCATGTATGTGTAAACTTACTTGCCAATAAAAGCTTTTCTGGTTCTGATGCTCTGTGTGTGCGCTGGAAAGAAATCCACATTTGGGAAAGAAAGAAAGCCGGACGACCCGAACACTACAAAACTGTTCCAGCCCATCGGCATCACCCAGAGTAAGTCCACCATCAGTGTTTTCACATCGAAAATGTACTGTACCAATGTCAGCATCAAATAATGCATCCTCATAGCCAGGGTTTCAAACACCAGCTACCTGAGGAAGTTGAGTCAGCTAAGGGTGGGGCGTTCCGTTTCTGTTGGCCATCACATACTTCTGGTACCTGGAAGTACAAGTCGGCTGTAGCCTGTGATTGTTTTGCAAGCTGAGATCAGAGCTTGTGATCAGGACCGAGGTTTATCAAAAGTAAGCAACACAATGTTAGGTGTGATGTAGTCAAACTTAAATACTTACAGGCCACCCAGAATAACTCACTATTTTTATCAAATTTAAAACATTTAATATATCTATTATCTCATGGACTCAGAGGAAGAGGACTCACTCCCTTTGTAGCCCCCTAAACCCTACACACTAGACCTTTAAGATGTATAATCGATTATATTGATGTAGAATTTAAGGCACTGATTTGATCCAAAGTTGTATTCATTGTTTATTCCATTCATGTCATGCAGTTATCATTTATTTGGATTTAAACTGAGATATTTGTGCAGGAAAAGTCATTTATTTACCCTTTATTAGTAACACATTAAATAGATCTTTGTATTATTAGGCTATTGCAGGTTAAAAGGTATCAAATTCTTAACAACAACATTAAGCATCTCACAAACATTGATATATTTGATTAGGAGGGGCGTCACTTTGTGTAGTGGCTGATTTCACTGGGCTTTGTAACTCTCAGAGACTGTTCAGGTAAAACCTGCTAGAAAGGGAGAGGGGAGTTGTGATGATCAAAGCTTTTGCTCTGGTCCAAGATATTGGTGCCACTTGATAGTGAATATATAAAATATTATTTAGAAAATCTATAAGCCCGAGGTGATAAAACTATTTATAAAGCCATAGCAGGCAAATTCCCTTCATGGCATGTTAATGTTTTTCTTTATATATTTATACCTTTTGTTTGTTAACTTAAATAAAAATGTGTGGGCAGAACTAATTGTTTTGTTGTGGATTGTATTATAATTTCTGAATCACATGGCTGAATGTTGGGGGATTTCAGTGAAATGATGAAGGAATGTACTGTACATGTACTGGAAAATAAACATTTGTCAACTATGATCCCAAGTCAGTAAACATCATGAGGAAGATACCGGTACATAAACCACAGACTGAGGACAGGCTGTCTGTCCTGCATTTGATAAAATCTGGGTTTAATGCTCAAATGAAATGTGTTTCAGAACAGTCTCTGCATGTGAATTGTTGCCCTTTTACCCGCGTGTGGTTTCAAATGAAAAGGGGGAATCAGCTTGACCTGAGCATCTGTGCCCACTCTTAGGCCATTACTTTGTTGTCAGGGCATTTGTGTATACGGCCTCATTTTAAGGCAATTACTGTCACAGACCTTGTTCCTGTGGGTTTTCCTGTTATGGGCATTACATCAATAAGGAAGTGACGCCATGCATCTCCTCCTCTTTGTGTGTGTGTGTGTGTGTGTGTGTCGCTCTCTGGTTCCAAACAGACAGAGCTTTCTATTTATAGAATCTTACCCGCCTATTCAGCCTTCCACCTCGGGACAAAGAGATACACCCACATAAACACACAAAGCAGCCATGGAGAGCACAGTTGCAAGTATAACACACTGGGTGTTGGACAATATTGGACAAATCATCAAACACGAGAGAGCGACAGAGAGAGAGAGATAGATGATGAAGTGAATTGATGCATTTTGCATAGCAAATACAGACGAAACGGTATGGATGTATATACTCACAAATACAGGCATAAACATATCAAGTGGAAAGCAATTTTTAATAAAATCCCAGAAACACATACTAGAGCATTAATAATGCAGGGATTCTTAGTGGAGAAAGGAACACTGGGTAGAGGGGGGAAGGGATTGCCACTCTTTTAAAGCTTCTACAATGTATTATGACAATTACCTTCCATTTCTTTATTGACACACACAATATGTGTTCAGTGTCTATGTGAGAGTGTGTGTGTGTGTGCGTGTGTGGTTATATAATATCAATTGGCCATCCGTTTATCCTGCCACTCTACAACATGTATACCATACATAAAAAATTAAATACAATGGATTTATGCTTGTATATCCTTCCATAGTGCAGATTTCCATTAAACCATGTGTTCTATAATGCAAGGTTGGGTTTGGTATGCTATAGCGCTGGAGAAACCCTCCACAGCACCTGACTCAGACATTCGCATTCTCACATACAGGCCCTCCAGATAATTTGAGGAGATCATCCAGAATGCAGTGCATGACTGAAAGGTAATTTATGTTCTTGTATTATCTGCTTTTATTAATTGCTTACAGTACATTTACTGTAAATTTAGAGGAGTCTAAATTTACAGTAAGAAGTCCAGAATGTTTGCTCAAAATACTATTGACCCGTCTTGTTGCTTCCAGGGCAGTTTTGGAGTTCTCAGAATTCCTCTCACAAAACGCCCTCCCTGATCACAATCAGTTGGGCTTTAAGAGCGGCCACTCCACTGAAACAGCCGGTGCTCGGTCTTCTGTTCTTATCGTGCAGGATCTATCAACAGTCTTGGAGCCACAGCATCCCGTTATATCTGTCCACTCTGACCCTGGACATCTCAAGCTAAGCACTTTGCTGGTTTAAACACTATGTCGCAGGGCATTCCTTCAATGTGCCCTTTTTCTATACCCACAGCAGTGCTGGGGTACATTCTCTTTGCAATATACTGTACACTACTTCCTTAGGGTCCAGTTACCCAACTCACATGGTTTTTCGAACAACTGCTACGAGGACAACACCCAACTGTACCTGTCACTCCTGCCAGATGACGCCATTGTCTTGATTCATATCCACGTGGATGGATTAATGCAGCTCTTTACGACTAATCGGTGTCTCCATCAGGACATTATCCAAATCAGCTCTACATCCTTGATCCAAGCCAACAACACAAAAATCCTGGGTGTCAAGTTCAAGAAAGCTATTTGACCATGTTGCACCATGGTTATCCCTTGTCTTGATTACTGCGATGGCCTTCAGTCGCTGTGAAATCCTTAGAGATTATACAGAATGTGGTGTGTGGTCTTCTATAAGCCTAATATGTAACATTTGACACCTCTGTCAGAAAGAATGGCAAAAGCAAAATCTTACTTTAGTAACCTAGTTTGCCTCCAAAATGACTTATAGGTCTTTACCACTGAACTCAATCATACAGGCTTACTCTCCTTCTCTAGCAATTACCCAGCAATCACCTCGGTGCATTACTGTAACCTTTTCACAGATTTATCACTTACAACTTACCTCAACTTAGCTCTCCTACTTTAATATTCTATATAACACATTTTTAAGTGACTTAGATAAAAGTGTTTGGCCAATAAGTAAATAAAAGTAAAACTATTTTGAACATCAATTTTATGATAACTTTCTTATGATATCAGCAATTGGGGAAAGTTTGAAATGAGTGAAGCATCTAAGCCTTGTTTCTTTGTTTCTTTGTCAGCAGAATAACACAGAAAATCTGGAACAGATTTCTACAAAAACTGGCGGAAGGATGGGACACAGGCCATGACAGAACCCATTAAATGTTGGTGTGGATCTGGATTTTGAGTGGTTCCAAGATCTAATTTCTTTCTTTCTACAAAATTGTGAGAAATGGTGTTTGTGTTTTTTTCACCCATTTCCCAGGGAATCATTCATGGACCTGGATGGAAAAAAAACCAGAGGACTGACTGTGAAATTTGAAGCAGCTTGAGTGAATTTCAGTTTGTATTTGAGATGTTTTTCATGGAGAATTGATAACATATGTTTACACAGTTTTTCAACTTGATTCTTCAGGGAGAACCACTACAGTATCAACGGTAGCGCAGTTTTGTGAGGCACTGCAAAGACGAACAGGCAAGATGCAACAGTGATGCACTATTTTAACGTGATTGCAAAGACTCTTTGGAAATATATCATTATTTAGTTTTAAACATTCAGTGATTAAATTCAAACTATGTGAAGACAAATGAATGAACCCAGAGATACACATTTGGGCTCGCAAAAAGAGTTTGCACTGCAGTGAAGATGAGTCAGCCACTAGGTTGCCATGGAAACACAACCTCTTTGCAATCAGTCTCTTAGTAACCGTGCAGTTGCCGAGGAAGAAACCTGTGTGTGGGACTGTGTGTTTGTGAATGTGTGTATTGTGACATGTACCTGATTAGTTCACTGACTGGAGTTAAAATTAAGGACTATTAAAAAAAAATTGTATCTTGAAAACACCAGAGGAAGGGGAATCTGGAGTGGGAGAGACTGAACAGATCTATAAGAGAGAGAAACAGAAACCTGTTTCAAACCTACCACAACCGAGCCAATGCCAGGAAGAATCTTGTGTATGTAGTCTATGGGTTGCTATGGGTGTATGAGTTTTGATGCAGGGGACCCTTTGGACAGATGTTTCCCATCTTTTGTTTCGTTTGTTTTAATGCCACACAGTTATTCCAAAGATAAAATTGCTCATACTGAGCTTTCGACAGCAGGGCTGTTGTGATGGCCTTCAATATTAAAGCCTATAAGGGCAAAGAGCCACTGTGGCTTTCACAG